AGAACGTTATATGTAAATTAGTGTATATTTCTCTCCACACTGTATTTATTGTATAATATAACAATGTAAGAACGTTATATGTAAATTAGTGTATATTTCTCTCCACACTGTATTTATTGTATAATATAACAATGTAAGAACGTTATATGTAAATTAGTGTATATTTCTCTCCACACTGTATTTATTGTATAATATAACAATGTAAGAACGTTATATGTAAATTAGTGTATATTTCTCTCCACACTGTATTTATTGTATAATATAACAATGTAAGAACGTTATATGTAAATTAGTGTATATTTCTCTCCACACTGTATTTATTGTATTATATAACAATGTAAGAACGTTATATGTAAATTAGTGTATATTTCTCTCCACACTGTATTTATTGTATAATATAACAATGTAAGAACGTTATATGTAAATTAGTGTATATTTCTCTCCACACTGTATTTATTGTATTATATAACAATGTAAGAACGTTATATGTAAATTAGTGTATATTTCTCTCCACACTGTATTTATTGTATAATATAACAATGTAAGAACGTTATATGTAAATTAGTGTATATTTCTCTCCACACTGTATTTATTGTATAATATAACAATGTAAGAACGTTATATGTAAATTAGTGTATATTTCTCTCCACACTGTATTTATTGTATTATATAACAATGTTACAGTACATGGGATGTATTTACCTCATATTTGACTCATTAACGTATTTATTGTACACTGTATTACATACTGTTTAATCTTGTATATCTATTTTATATTTGACTCTTTCCTTGTACATTGTTCATCATGATATTTAACTCCCAAGTGCCGTATTTATTTAAACAAAGGCTGCTTGTCTAGTTTTACTTCATATTTTACTCTCATTGTACTGTATTGTACTGTACTGTACTGTGCTTTATTTTATTGTATTTTACTGTACGGTATTATATTGTATAGCTGTGTCTACCTGGTACATAGTTAATGTTTATAGACATGGGTTTTACATGGAGTACATTTGCCACTATTTATACATCCACAGTGTCGTTTATGACTTTTTTTGTTATCATTAGCAATCAACCAAACAGTTAAACTTGTCCAACAAGTAATATTATATCAATGCTAAAATAGTGTAGAACGCTAATATGTAAACATATACATGTATTTATATAAACAAAATTATGGGGAAAAAATGAAAAAGAAAAAAAGAAAATACCATGTATTCACAGAATCACATGTAAAACAAGAAAATGCAGCAAAGCTGCTGGACACCAAACCATTTTATGAAAATGACTTACCGTAACCGCACGTTTTGGGCCAAATGTCAATGATTTGGCAATAATGTCATCTTCTAAGAGAGAGAGAGAAGCCGGGGACATAAGACGATTTACATAAACTATCATTTACACCTTTTGTCAAAATTGCAGCAATTTTTGCATATGTAATTCTTTTGACAATGTCCCTATTTGACTATTTTGGATACAATATCAACCATTTTCTAGGATAAAGGGTCAATCGTAGCCCCCCCCCCCCCCCCCCC